ACAACACAGCCGGCAGCACTAGCTGCAACGACAGCCTGCTACAGCAGCCCGTCTACACATTGCTGCCAACCTACAGCCGCCAACCACTCAGCCTGTCCAAGCACAGGCCCCCGCCAACACAGCCTGCAACACAGCCTGCGAACACAGCCTGTACACAAGCCCGCATACACAGCCTCGTGCAACAGTCATGCGCCGCTAACACAAGCCGTGCACGACACAGCCGCTACAACAGCCCTTCAACACCAGCCCGCCTTACACACGCCTTACAACACAGGCCACAACACAGCCTGCTCACAGGCCTGCAACACAGCCGCCTCCAACACAGCCTCGCAGCACAGGGCCTGCCTAACACAGCCTGCTACCAGCAGCCCGCTACACAGCTGCTACACAGGCCTGCTACTACAAGGCCTGCCTTACACAGCCTCAAACACAGCCTGCTACCAGCCTGCTCCACAGCCCGCTACACAGCCCGCTCACACAGTCCTACAACACAGCCCGCTTACCACAGCCCTGCTACAAGCCTCTACATCATGCTGCAACACAGCCTGCAACACAAGCCCGCTACACAGCCGCTACACAGGCTAGCAAGCACAGCCTGCCAACACAGCCGCTACACAGGCCTGCCTACACAGCCGCTACTACAGCCCGCGTACACAGCCCGCAACACAGCCCGCCACACAGCCTCGCAACACAGCTCCGCAACAACAGGCCTATGCTACACAGCCTGTACACAAGCCCTCTTCCAGCCTGCAACACAGCCCCAACCACTAGCCCGCTACACAGCCTGCACACAGCCCGCTACACAGCCCGCAACACAGCCTGCAACACAGCCTGCAACACAGCCCGCTACACAGCCTGCAACACAGCGGTCCGCTACACCAGCCTGCACCACAGCCTCCCCTGCTCTGTGTACACAGCCCGCACACACAGCCTTTGCAACATCAGCCGCAGCACAGCGCCACAACAGCCGCGTACCAGCCTGCAATCATCATCCCGAGCCTGCTTGTCAACCACAGCGCCTTACACTACCTGCAGTCTGCAACACAGCCTGCCCACAGGCCCGCTACACAAGCTCTTGAACACTAGCCCCCGTTACATCAGTCCCTGCAACACAGCCTGCTACACGCCCGCCAACACACGTCCTGTCAAGCACGAGGCCCGCAACACAGCCTGCAACACAGCCTGCAACACCAGGCCCTCACACACATGCCCTAATCACAGGCCTGCAAACACAGCCCGCAACACAGCCGCAACACAGCCCCCCTCCAAAGCACAGCCTTGTAACACAGCCTGAACACGCGCATATAACGCTGCCTTACACATGGTCCTGCAACACAAGCCTGCTGACCAGCTTGCTATCAAGCCACACACACCACAACACAGTCTGCACTACAGCCGCAACACAGCCCGCCAACACAGCTTACAACACAGCCTGCCAACACAGGTCCGCTACACAGCCTCTCAACACGCCCGTCAACACAGGCCTGCAACACAGACCCTCAACACAGCCCGCCTACACAGCCGACACAGGCCCGCTTACACAGCCCGCACACTAGCCCTCAACACAGCCGCTACACAGCCCGCAACACAGCTGCAACACAGCGCTCTACTCACAGCCTGCACACAGCCCGCCCAAACAGCGCAACACAGCCCGCAAACAGGCTTGCACACGCACTACACATGCCTGCAAACAGCCCGCAACACGCCGCAACACAGCCCGCTACACAGCCCGCAACACAGCCCGCTACACAGCCCGCAACACAGCCCTCAACACAGCCCGCAACACAGCCCGCAACACAGACCTGCACACAGCCAGCTTACACAGCTGCAACACAGCGCAACAGCAGCCTGCAACACAGCCCGCAACACAGCCCACAAACACAGCCTGCAACACATCCCGCAACACAGCCCGCAACACAGCCCGCAACACAGCTGCAATCACGCGCCCTCACAGCTCCGCGAACACAGCCCGCAACACTAGCCTGCATACACCAGCCGGCAACACAGCCCGCAACACAGCGCAACACAGCCTGCACACATGCCCGCACAAACAGCCCGAACACTGATGCCGCAACACAGCCGCACACAGTCCTGCTAACACAGCCCGCTACACAGCCCCGCAAACAGCCCGCAACAGCCTGCCACCACAGCCCGCAAACAGCCCGCAAACTAGCCCGCAACAACGCTGCTACACATAGCGCAACACAGCCTTGAACACAGCCCGCACACAAGTCCGCATGCACAAGCCCAAAACAGCCCGTCAGCCCGTAAGCCCGATAAGCCGCCCGCTGTCAGCCGCCCGCCCGTCAGCCCGTCAGCCGTCAGCCCGTTTTGCCCCGTCAGCCTGCCACAGTCCTGTCAGCCCCGCCAGCCGCCCGGCCAGTCCGCGCCGCTAGTGATAGACAGAAAGAGCGGGGCGTGGAGTTAGATTTAGATTTATGGGGAGGAGGTGAGGAAGAGATGGAGAGGGGAGCTGAGAAGCGAGAAAAGAGATTAGTGTGGAGCGAGAGCGAAGAGAGCAAGAGAGGAGATGGGAAAGATGGATAGAATCAAAGGTGTGTGTAAAGATATATTTATACTATATATATATATAGTATATATATATATTACTATATATTACATGAGAGGAGGTAGAGATGATGTAGAGAGAGGTAGAAGAGATGAGGAACAATCAAAAGAGGCGAGTTTAGAGCCATCATAGTGCGTAGGAGCGTAGATGGCTGTTCTTTTATCATCTCTGTTCATCATCGATCTATTGTTCTGTCCGTTTCGTGTTTTTTCGTATGTTTTCTATATTTTGCGTTGTTTTTCTGTGTAGATCATCCTTTCTGGTGGTTTTCACGTGTGTTTCTTGCGTGTTTTTCGTGTGCGTTATATTCATTTCTTATCCTATTATATTATATATATATATATATATATATATATATATATTATATATATACTATACTATATTTTTTAGCCTATGCTTCTATAACTAGCTATTACGCTGCATGAATTGCGGTAGATGATTATTCATGTTTTACATCATAAATATCGTATACTTATTGGCGACCTATAACAGGATACGTGAACGCGCTCGCGTCACGAGGTCAGCGTGAGGTCATGCGCGTGACGTCACCACGCAGATTCATCAAACAGTGTTGCTATCCCCCGGGCGTGGAGGGAGGTCACGTGATAACGTTGACGATGACGTTCAAAACGTTAACCCTAACGGTAACCCTCACTCCAACACCGCCAACACTAACCCTCACACTAAATATATATGTCTCGCCGCGCTATATATAGGCATTGTGATCCACAAAAATTAATCTATGGTGTGGGGACAGATATCATGATGCAAAAACCTTAACCCTAACCCTAATCCTAACCCTAACCCTAACCCTAACCCTAATCCTAACCCTAACCCTAACCCTAATCCTAACCCTAACCCTAACCCTAACCCTAACCCTGACCCTAACCCTAATCCTAACACTATCCCAACACTAGTGCTGCCACGTTGCGGTCACCTCCCTCCACGCCCGGGGGATAGCATTACCCCTCGACCTTGCTGTTGCTCTTTTATTTCTCACGTGACCTCACGCCCATCTTAGAGCGCACCGCCCGATTTTAGAAGGTGCGGCCCTTTGATTTTTCATGGCCCACTGATGCGGCCCTCGCTTTGAAGTTTGCCCACCACTGGTCTTGCTACACGATGGAGGTTTTCTCGGGTTAAGTGCATCCACCTGAGACAAGTTATCTCTGGTTAGCGTTAACCTTGTGAGAGAAGGGGGTAAGCAAAACGTTGTGTAGACTCTACGGGCAAATTTTACCTGAGGTTTAAAAATTTATAGTTATCTGCTCTGTAGATAGGTGGCAATACATGTAGCTTCTTATTGTTTGATTACTATACATGTACTAGCTTGCTAACCTCAATTCGTTTATGTGCGATAACAAAACTGCTTTCCCTGGAGACGGGGGTAAATAACCTGAGATAGTTGTCTCAGGTTAACGGCATATCGTTTAGATGTAGCTTTTGTTATATCAGATATTTCATTGTATACAATCTCACTGTAACGATGTTTCACGATGGCCCATGAGTGGGTTGACATTATTTCTTATGACTATTTCTTACACTCAATTGGGTGAAAAACATACTCGGTTGTGAAAATGTTTAAGTTAATTGAAACATGTGCCTCCTAATTTTTCCCAGATGTTTGAACGCCGTCCAAAAGGTCTAACCAGGTGTCCTCAGCATCGGTAAGTTAAGATAATTTTGATAATCTTGGTCATCTCCTCTATATGGCTGATTTGATTCCTGTCCAATCGGGGTCCTTCCTTTATTTGGTATGCAAATTATGCTTAATTTACAACCTCCGGGTGAAGTTTATAAGGGAGCGTTCATAAAGTATGTATGCAATATAGGGGAGGGGTAAAAATTTGTCATTTTCTCCTATGTACATAATACGTACATGGGTGGTAAAATTTGCAAACATTTTGCATACATACTTCATGAACGGCCCCTAAGCTACCGCTGGTTTTTATGGAGTCATGCTGAAGCATGGTCTTAGGTACATTCCTATGTACAGTCGTGCCCCTATATACCGCCCACATTGGGATATTTTGATTTGGGCATTATAGAGAGTTTGGCGTTATAAAGGGGTTTAAATATAATTCAAATACATTGATTTATGGGAGATTGGTTTTTTTGAAAAAGTGAGGTTTGCATTATGGAGGGGGACAGTATATGGGGCACGACTGTATTTAAATTCAGGTCATACAAGTTGAAAATATGGCCGCCAGGAGGTGAGTCCTAAAACAATGTTATCTGGATACAGCCTTCATATTTCCATCATCAGGGCAGGGAATTCAAGGCGTACAATCTGCCTCACTATAGTCCTCTGATCATGTGGCAGTCAATACCTTTTTAGCCAACTTAATTGGGGCTTCAGCCCCAAGGGGCTATATTGCAGTGTTCAGTTTACGCCCATCATACGTTCGTCTGTAGATGTCCCTGGACGCCATGTTGCACGTTGACATTTTTTGGGGAGAGAGGGGGGTTATGGAGAATGTACAATCCTCTATGGATAGTAGTTGAGATTTCATTAGGATTTTCTCCAATAGAGGGCGTTGCTGTTGATTTCAATAAAACAAGCGGGGCTTTTCTTAGAACAAAGAAAAGCAAGGTTTCTGGTGTCTGGGGAGTAATCGGCGTTTTGTTGCGATATGTGGAGAATATAAAGGTAAATATTGTTAGGTGAATATGATTAAGGTGTAGCGTTTATAGGTGATCGTTAGTGTAATGTTATTTAGTCGTGTAATAGCTTGATTGTGTACTTTGTATGTTCAGAGATGCTGGTTTCTGTGGCTATGATTAGAAATGGGTTAATCGTTGCTGGTTTGAAGCGAGTGTGGTAGCATAGAGAGCCGCTGGGATCAATTATGTATATGTTAATCAAGATTGTTGAAGAATGTGGTTTTTATGATGTTGTGTTAAATTATGAGCTTGTGGTAATTCGAAGTCAGGAATCCTGTGTTGTATTGATATGTATGTACGCAGGTAGCATTGTAATCGGCTGATATTGTGAATTACATTTTTTGTATTTAACATTTGTTGTTCAGGTTGTAAGGCTGTTCTGTTCACGGAGCTGGTGTTTAAGAGATCCGGCGGAACAGTACGTTAGCATCTACTATGATTCAGGCATAATTAGCAATTTTCATAATTCCGATTAGGTCATTTATGGTGTTAATGAATATGAGAATTGTTAGCACGCTGATATATTAAAGACATGTATGTCTTTGGTTTTTGCAGAATTGAATGCTAACTAGCTACCGTTGATACGGTTGGTACGTTAATAAAGCATCTCAATCAAAGTCGGATTCTCTTGGTGTATTCGTCGACTCTTGTAGTCAAGTCTCATCTTTCCGCACAATTCAATTTGTTGGTCGGAACGGGGAAAGAGCGGGAAACTACAACATGGAGCAGGCGCAGAGGTTGAGACGCGGAGTTCGCCGGGAGCTGTGTAGGAGGGTTTCGGATATGGAGACAGCGATACAGGAGAATCAGGCCATGGGCTTTCTTCAGGAGCTGGAGGCGGAGATGAAGACAGAGTGGAACAAGCTCATGGAAGCTCAAGGAGAAGTACTCAAGCTGGTTGGTGAGGAACAGGAAGAAGACGAAGAGAGAGTGATCGAGGACGTAAGGAATCGTTACCTTGAAGTAAGGAAAAGGTTCAGCACGCACAAAGAAGAATCTATTAAGGTTGTTAATGAAAGTAATAATGACAATGTGTCTACTAATTCCAATGAGAATGCATCTGTAGCGAGCGGTAATCAGACCTGCTACGGACGCGAGTCAAAATTACGGTGTTACGGACGACCTCGAAAAATTACGGACAGCAAGAAATCTCTGAAATTTATATTTTTTAATGCAAAAAAAAAGAAATAAACACAGTGTAAAATCAACTATTATCATGTAACATGACTACTGTGTCTGTAGATTTAGACTAATAGCTCTTAAAACGTAACGGTACTCACTGAAAATGGTAAATTACGCTGTGTTATGCGTTCGTCTGTCTGGTTTATGG